CAGCCAAGCTCCATCCTCTTTGGAACCCCCCTTCAGGTAGTTGAAAGCAGCTATCAAATCCCCCATCATTCTTCTCTTCAGGAGACTAAACAATCCCAGTTCCCTCAGCCTCTCCTCATAAGTCATGTGCGCCAGACCCCTAATCATTTTTGTTGCCCTCCGATGGACTCTTTCCAATTTTTCCACATCCTTCTTGTAGTGTGGGGCCCAAAACTGGACACAGTACTCCAGAGGAGGCCTCACCAATGTCGAATAAAGGGGAACGATCACGTTCCTCGATCTGCTGGCAATGCCCCTACTTATACAGCCCAAAATGCCATTAGCCTTCTTGGCAACAAGAGCACACTGTTGACTCATATCCAGCTTCTCGTCCTAGGTCCTTTTCTGCAGAACTGCTACCTAGCCATTCGGTCCCTAGTCTGTAGCAGTGCATGGGATTCTTCCATCCTAAGTGCAGGACTCTGCACTTATCCTTGTTGAACCTCATTAGGTTTTTTCTGGCCCAATCCTCTAATTTGTCTAGGTCCCTCTGTATCCGATCCCTACCCTCTAGTGTATCTACCACGCCTTCCAGTTTAGTGTCATCTGCAAATTTGCTGAGAGTGCAGTCCACACCATCCTCCAGATCATTAATAAAGATATTAAACAAAACTGGCCCCAGGACCGACCCTTGGGGCACTCCGCTTGAAACCGGCTGCCAACTAGACATGGAGCCATGGATCACTACCCGTTGACCCCGACGATCTAGCCAGCTTTCTATCTACCTTACAGTCCATTCATCCAGCCCATACTTCTTTAACTTGGCGGCAAGAATACTGTGGGAGACCGTATCAAAAGCTTTGCTAAAGTCAAGGAATAACACATCCACTGCTTTCCCCTCATCCACAGACCCAGTTATCTCATCATAGAAGGCAATTAGGTTAGTCAGGCACGACTTCCCCTTGGTGAATCCATGCTGACTGTTCCTGATCACTTTCCTCTCCTCTAAGTGTTTCATAATTGATTCCTTGAGGAGCTGCTCCATGATTTTTCCAGGGACTGAGGTGAGGCTAACTGGACTGTAGTACCCTGGATCCTCCTTCTTCCCTTTTTTAAAGATGGGCACTACATTAGCCTTTTTCCAGTCATCCTGGACCTCCCCCGATTGCCAGGAGTTTTCAAAAATAATGGCCTATGGCTCTGCAATCTCATCCGCCAACTCCTTTAGCACCCTCGGATGCAGCACATCCAGCCCCATGGACTTGTGCACATCCAGTTTTTCTAAATAGTCCCGAACCAATTCTTTCTCCACAAAGGGCTGGTCACCTTCTCTCCATACTGTGCTGCCCAGTGCAGTCTCACCTCAGTCCCTGGAAAAATCATGGAACAAGCCCTCGAGGAATTCATTTTGAAGCACTTGGAGGAGAGGAAGGTGATCAGGAACAGTCAACGTGGATTCACCGAGGACAGGTCATGCCTGACCAACCAAATTGCCTTCTATAATGAGATAACTGGCTTTGTGGATATGGGGAAAGCGGTGGATGTGATATACCTTGACTTTAGCAAAACTTTTGATATGGTCTCCCACAGTATTCTTGCCAGCAAGTTAAAAAAAGTATAGATTGGATAAATGGACTATAAGGTGGATAGAAAGCTGGCTAGATCATTGGGCTCAGTGGGTAGTGGGCTTGATGTCTAGTTGGCTGCTGGTATCAACTGGAGTGCCATGTGGTCTGTCCTGGGGCTGGTTTTGTTCAACATCTTCGTTAATGATTTGGATGATGGGATGTATTGTACCCTCAGCAAGTTTGCCGATGACACTAAACTGGGAGGAGTGGTAGATACACTGGAGCGTAGGGATAGGGTCTAGAGTGACCTAGACAAATTGGAGGATTGGGACAAAAGAAATCTGATGAGGCTCGACAAGGACAAGTGCAGAGTCCTGCACTTAGGACGGAAGAATCCCATACACTGCTACAGGCTGGGGACTAACTGGCTAAGTGGCAGTTCTGTAGAAAAGGACCTGGGGATTACAGTGGACAAGAAGGTGGATATGAGTCAACAGTGTGCCCTTGTTGCCAAGAAGGCTAACAGCATATTGGGCTGCATTAGTAGGAGCATTGCCAGCAGATCAAGGGAAGTGATTATTCCCCTCTATTCGGCACTGGTGAGGCCACATCTGGAGTATTGCGTCCAGTTTTGGGGCCCCCACTAGAGAAAGGATGTGGACAAATTGGAAAGTCCAGCAGGGGGCAATGAAAATGACTTATGAGGAGTGGCTGAGGGAACCGGGCTTATTTAGTCTGCAGAAGAGAAGAGCGAGGACAGATTTGATAGCAGCCTTCAACTACCTGAAGGGGGTTTACATAGAGGATGGAGCTTGGCTGTTCTCAGTGGTGGCAGATGACAGAACAAGGAGCAATGGTCTCAAGTTGCAGTGGAGGAGGTCTAGGTTGGATACTAGGAAAAACTATTTCACTAGGAGGGTGGTGAAGCACTGGAATGGGTTAACTAGGGAGGTGGTGGAATCTCCATCCTTAGAGGTTTTTAAGGCCCAGCTTGACAAAGCCCTGGCTGGGATGATTTAGTTGGGGTTGGTCCTGCTTTGGACAGGGGGTTGGACTAGATGACCTCCTGAGGTCTCTTCCAACCCTAATCTTCTATGATTCTAAGGGCTCTTCTATCTAGCAAACAAAGATCTGATGATTGCAAGATTAAATTAGACAAATTCAGACTAGAAACAAGGCTCAAAATTTTAACAATGAGGGTAATTAACCATTGGAATAATTTACCAAGCATTGTGGTGAATTCTCCTGTGTCAGATATGTGATCTTGGACGTGTAGAACCTTCAAAAGATTATACTGACATGTAACAGATGCTATGGGAGTGAAACTGGCAGACCTGGTGCCAGCTCAGGCCAAAATACCCATGCCTCAGTTGAATACTGACAAACAGAGCTAAAAATCAGCCTGGCTCACTTATGTGTTAGTATTGTTAAAACAGATATTAGAATTATAAGAATGTGTTCAGAGTTTATTGAATGCTTGTGAGCTGCTGCATGCATTAATCTCACCTAAAACAGCTGTATCCCACATTGTAATGTAATATTTGCAGTGCTTTGTAACTGTGTAAATTACCAGAAAGGAGAGAGACGTTAATTAGTGTGAAATGCTGGTCTCCGACAAAAGGTGTTATGGCCTGCCCAACAAGGAAGGCCCACTGACACCCCACAGACCAGCCTGGAAGATTAAAGAGGACAAAAGAAAGACTTTGTTGTTTACTCTTCCCATCTCCGAGAAGATAAGTCTTGCAAGTGAATAGCTCCCATCAGCTGAGTTGGCAGCTCAAAGCAGAAGTGAGGAAGTGAATAAAACCCCTGAACAAACAGGAAATGTATCTTTATATTGCTTGGACTCTGGGGGAACAAGGATTACTAGAATAAACAAAAGATCCCCAGTGCTTATCCTGGGCTAAGCCCTAAAGGACATACAGACATTGCTTATTACAGAAGCTTTTATTACTTTTTGAAAGTTAAGATTTTAAGTCAATATCTGCATTAACCTTGTAAAAAACTCGTTTTCTTTTCCTATTTAGTAAATCTTTAGATCGTTTAGTATAGGATTGGCTACAAGTGTTGTCTTTGGTGTGAGCTCCAACATGCAATTCAGGACTGGGCATAACCTGAATATTGCTGTTATTTGTGGTGAAATGGCCATCTATCACAATGGCAAGCTTCCCTGGATGGCGAGACAGGGAGTACCCCAGGGGACTGTCTGTGACTCCATGTTAAGGCTCTTACAGTGCCTAAGGAGTATACCTTTGATAAGTGGTTGGTGAAATCTAACTATAGAACTCTCAGCCAGTCTGGGGTTTGTGCCTGTTTTTGTAACAATCTGCCCTGAGGTTGGTACTCACGCTCTTGAGCCTCTGCAGGACAGCTTGACAATGGGGACAGTAAATCTCCCCAAGCTCTTGTATCTATAACTGTTCTGTAGCTTTTTCAGATAAAGATTGTGTTCTAACTCCATGGGGAAGGGAAGGATTAGAGAGCTAACTCCAGTAACTACAAGAAGTGTGTGTGTGTGGTGGGGGGGAATCCTGCAAATCCCAGGACAGGTAAACAACTCCAGATACTTACCAACTCGTGGGGGGAATTACACATACTGATTCAGACCAGGTTCAAGGACCCAGATGACAAAAAAGGGTTTTTGGTAGAAAGGCTCAGCCTGAACTGACTGAGTGACCTTCATTTGATTCTCAAATTAACATGAGACTGTAACTGAGAGGGAAAAACCCTGCTGTCAGGTTTGAAGAACTGGAAACCTACCAGGGTCTCCATATGGATGATGGGTGTCACCTAGTAAGCTTAGCATGCATGTAGACAATTTTTTTTAATTATATGTACTCTGTAATGCTTTTGTCCTAAATATACTGTATATATTGTGCTTTGTGAAACAACCATCATAGCCACTGGGAGAGAGCAGAACTGCAGGCACTGAACTAAAGTCAGACCTGCTGGGATAAGCACAGCGAATTGGAAGGGGGACTGCAAGCCTAAATACCCAGTCTGGAGGGAGAGGGACATGGGTCCCTGCCCATAGAGAGGTGGTGGCTGGAGGGCTGAGACTTAAAGCAGTGCCTTTGACCAAGCCAGAGGTGCCGTTAGCCCTGGAACTGTGGTATCTCCATCACTGGACATTCTAACAAAGTTTGGATATTTTCTAAAAGATATGCTCTAATGTAAATAGGAATTCATTCAGGGAACTCCTATGGCCTGTGTTAAGCAGGTCAGACTAGATGATCACAATGGTCCCTTCTGGCCTAATAATCTATGAGCCCCACCTTCCAATGAGACACAATGTTGGGTGCACTGTACAGACCTCCTACCCAAATATTCTGAAAGGATGTGGCAGAGAGCCCCAAGCTGCCCCTTAGGTCTAATGGAGCAAAGGCAGCTTGGAACCTCTGTGGAGTCCCTTCCCTTCAGGCCTAACGGGGCAGAAGGGCCTGGAAGCCTCACCTGCAGGGTCAGCTCTGCATTGACCATCTGCTTTCTCTGACACTTGTCATGCTCCGTGATTCTCCTGTTCAGTTCACAGTAGGCCTGCTGCAGCTGCATGGGAGGAAAAAGGAGGAAACAGATGGGAAAGATGAAGGTGGCCCCACAACACAACTTTGTCTTAGGTGGGGAGGAAAGCAGAATCCTTTGTCACACCAGTAAGGCTTAAATTCCATGTCCCTATGCTCTAGATGAGGCTGCAACTTTCCTGTCACACAGAGGGGATAAATTCTACCCTACTGTTCTCAGGAGGGACAGTAAACCCCTGATCTGGATCAGATTGGGGGGGAGGGATAACTCAGTGGTTTGAGCATTGGCCTGCTAAACCTAGGGTTGTGAGTTCAATCCTTGAGGGGGCCACTTGGGGATCTGGGGCAAAATCAGTACTTGGTCCTGCTAGTGAAGGCAGGGGGCTGGACTCGATGACCTTTCAAGGTCCCTTCCAGTTCTAGGAGATGGGATATCTCCATTAATTATAATTATTATAAGATGTTGGGACCAGTTGGCTGACTGTATAAAAAGGTCAAAGGGGACTGACCAGCAGCTAGGGCAAGCTGGTTGGCAGTCTCTATGCAAGTGCAACTGAGCAGCATGAATATCTGTCCCAGGCATGCACCGTGAGGAGTACAGAACATATATCATCAACTCTCTCTTGGAGAGACAGCAGCAGGAATTGCGTTTTCTTCATGCAGGTACAAACCAGTCTTGCACAAATTACACCAATTAGCAAGTGCTGCCCCTCTCTTTAAGACTAGAAGGGCTGACAACTGTAAGTCCAGAGATCAACATCTAAACACATACCAATTCCAACTCAGTCCCTTCAGGGATCAGCTGAGCAGGAAAGTTGGGCACTGAAGAAGAAGAAGAAGTATGGCCACTGCAGGGAAAGGCTGGAAATGGGGGAACAATGATACCTTGGGGGCTGTTTAATAGTTTCTAAAAAGAGCAGGCCTGACCTCCTTGTTACATCTCTCTTGCGTTTTAGCCAGCTGCTCCACCTCCTCGTTCATTCTATGGGAAAGAATAACACAGTTCAGTCTCCGAGTCCCTCTCAGTGTGGAGGGGCATGGCAGCACTGCAGTTTCTGGACCCCCTTCTCTGATTCTAAAAGATGTCCTGATCAGACAAGGTGAGGAAAAGGAACCAAATTACATCACCTGCTGCAATGGGACAAACTCTTGGGCAACATCTGGGACATAAACTTGAGGTTCCTTCTTTTATCCCTTCTTATCTTACTATTCTGCCTCTTTCTTAGCTTCTTTTGCCTTTTGTCTCATAAAGTCCAAGTTCTCAAACTGTAACCCATTCAAAAGGTAAAAAACCCTTTCAGTATAACAGTGTTTGTGACTGCTGTACCTATCTTCCCTTTCCTGGCTAGGGCTGGGGTGCAGGTCTCACCGGTGAGTCTCAGCTTCTTTCTGCTTCTTTTCCAGCAAGGCTCTTCTTTGCTGTTCTGCCTCCATCTTCTGTAGCATCAACTCGGTCAGGCTGATGTCCCAGGAGTGCAGAATGGCAACCAAGCTGTCCAAAGAAGCAATCTTATTGGAAAAAAACACAAACACCATTACATCAACCTCAGCCTAGATCAATCCACACAAGCCGTCCATTTCCTGGACACTACTGTGCTAATAAGCGATGGTCA